GAGCCTTGAACTCATTGGCACAGAAGACAACTTCCTGAGTAGAACACCAGCAGCTCAGGCTCTAAGATCAACAATTAATAAATGAGACTTCTTGAAACAAAATCTTCTGTAAAGCAAAGGACACTGTCAATAGAACAAAAAGACAGTCAACAGTTGGGGAAAAGAGCTTCACCAATTCTACAACCACTATAGAGTGAATGTTCAAAATAGATAATGAATTCAAGAAATCAAACACTGATAAGCAAATAATCCAATTTTAAACATGGGGCACAGAGCTAAACAGAGAATTCTCAACAGAGGAACCTCGAAAGGCCAAGAAGCACTTAAAGAAATGTTCAACTTCCTTAGTAATAAGGGAAATGCAAATCAAAATGACTCTGAGATTCCATCTCACACTGGTCAGAATGCCTAAGATTAAAATCTCAAGTGACAGCACATGCTGGCGAGGTTGTGGAGAAAGAAGAACACTTTTCCATTGCTGGTGGAAATGAAAACTTGAACAACCACTTTGGAAATCAATTTGTTGCTTTCTCAGAAAACTGGGAATAGCTCTACATCAAGTCCCAACTACCATAATAGCCAGAAACTGGAAACACCTGGATGTCCCTCAACTGAATATTGGATAAAGAAACTGTGGCACATTTACACAATGGAATACTATTCAGCTATTAAAATCAAAGACATCTTGAAATTTGCAGGCAAATGGATAGAACTAGGAAAAAAAAACATCCTGAGTGAGGTAATTCAGACCCATAAAGACACACATGCTAATACTCACTTATAAATGAATTTTAGCCATATATTACAGGATAAGCATACTATGAGGCACAGACCCAAAGAAGATAAATAACATAGAGTATCCAAGGGAGGAAGCATAAATCTCACCCGAAAGGGGAGCTAGAATAGAAAGAGGTAGTGGTTAAAGAGAGGGAACAAGGTAGGAGAAGGGACACAGAGACTTGAAAGGGTAGAGATCAGAGCAGGAGGACGTAAGATCTGTAGAGAAAAGAGAAACTAATGGTGGGGCTATCTCTATGATAAGCAGGAGACCTAAGTCAGAGTAGGTTCTTGGGAGGACATGAAGGGACTCAGATACTCCTAGGAGCAGAGGCCATAGAGACTGAACTAGACTAGTCTCTAACTAGACTAGTTTTCTTGCATAGGGAGGGGAACAATAGCCCACCCACAAAAACTTTGACCCAAAATTTACCCTGCCTACAAGATGTGCAGGGCTAAAAATAGAGCAGATAGAGCAGAGATTGAGGGAATGCCCAACCAATGCCTGGCCCAACCAAAGATCCACCCTATGGGAGAGTGCCAACACCTGACACTATCAAGGATACTCTGCTAAGCTTGTAGACAGGAGCCTGTCAGAGTTGTCCTCTGAGAGACTCTACCCAGCAGTGCCTCAAAACAGATGCTGGGACTCACGGCCAAACACTGGGCAATGCATACGGAGTCTTGTGAAAAAGTGCAAGGAACAAGAGAAGGTTCTGGTGGTGACAAGAGTTCCACAAGAATACCAACAGAGAGCCAACTGACCAGGGACCAGAGGGGCTTGCTGAGACTGAAGCACCAATCAAGTTCCTTGCATGAACTGGAACCAGGCCCCCTACAAATATGTAGTAGATGGGCAGCTTAGGCTTCCTGTGGGTCCTCTAATAAGGGAAATGGGGACTGCATCTGACTGGGACTCACCTGTCATCTCTTTGATCACTTCCACCTGGCAGGACGGCCTTGCCAGGCCACAGGGGAAGAGAACATGCTCCATCCTGACGCAACTTGATGAGCTGCAATGGACAGGAAAGGGAGCTCCCCTTTTCTTCAGAAAAGGGGAAAAGGAGGGAGAGGGAGGGGGAATGGGGCTGAAAAGGGAAGAGGAATGGGGCTACACAGATGTAAAGTGAATAAAATTAAAAAGGAAAGACCACCAAATCTAAATTAGCCAGAGTGCTAGGAATTGCCTTTCCTTTCATGTGTGTGGTGTGGTGTGAGTGTGTGTGTGTGTGTGTGTGCGTGTGCGTGTGCGTGTGCGTGTGTGTGTGTGTGTGTGTGTGATTTGTTTATGACGTTCTCAAACTGAAAAGGTGCTTTTTTTTCTTGGCTTCTCTTGTCTTGCCTCCTCATTTTTCATGAGACACTAGGTCTGCTAGGACCACAAGAGAGTGCATCCATCAGTCTTGCATCTTTTTCTGAGTGCTCTTAATTGTTGTTTTGGTACATCTGAATCTTAGCACTCAGGAGGCAGGGACAAGAAGAAAACTACTTGTTTATACCAAAGAGTTACTAACTTGCTCTGAAGATGCACACTGAATTCTTGGAGGTTACTTTAGTTTGAATTGGCTTTGATTTCATTTACATCTGTACTTACAGAACATTAAGCATTTACAGGCTACTATCTACCCATTAGGCATTCACTTACTAGAAGAGATGGCAGAGATGGTGGAGAGTTGAAGACTGTGGAGGGTTTTTGTGGTTTGTTTATTTGTGCTAATTTTATGTTCCACTGAGATATGGATTCGTGTAGCCCAGTTTGACTCAAACTCACTAAGTAGCTGAAGTAGGCCTTGAACTCCTCACCCCCTTGCCTTTATCCTCAAAGTACTAGGATTAAGTAACAATACTCAGCTCGAGGTTGTCTAAGACACAAGACAACTTGTGCAGTGTCTTACTGTGGAGAACTTAGCATTTCGGCTCATTGTCTACACCCATCCAATTTCATTGACCAGCCAGCCACAGCTAGTTCATATGGCCTGCCTTTCTTTGTCCTGATTTTCTCTGCTGCTTCTCAATGAGCCTTCACCTTCTCTTCCTTCCAGCTTGCTTTCTAGCACTTGAATACTACACCCTGTGGATGCTTTTTGCCCCTTTTGTTATTTAATTATTTTTTCATACAATATCTTTTGATCATATTCCTTACCCTTCCTCTTCCTAGATCCTTTCATATCCCTACCCACCTAAGTTCATGCTATCTCTCTCTGTTTCTCTTTCTCTTTCTCTCTCTTTTAATAAATAAGAACAAGAATGAAAATCCAAAACAAACAAACCAAAACCAGGCGGAATTTCAGTATGAAGAAGGGAAAGTAGATACAACATCCTACTCTTTACCAAGAATCTACTTTCAATTGATACCTTCTAGGAAGAGAAAACCAGTCTTCCCCAGAGTAATGACACTGGGTATATCAACCCTCTCCAGGGCAGACTCCATGTCCCAAGAGAAAATGGCCAACAGAAAATGGACGCCATAATCTTTGTGTGCCTCTATAAAGCTCCTAGAAACAATGCTTTCTAGTATGTCATCAGGGTTGAATTAACTAATGAGCAATTCATTATTAGGGCTCTGTGAGCTGAATGAAATTCTCTGGAGCAGCCATTTTCTTTAAAGATATGTAATCAGCTCAACCTTGACTGAGCAGAATCTTGTGGTTATAGTAAAGGGAAAAAGTTACCTTGGGCTGTCCTTAACGTATGCCTCACTTCTGTGGCAGACACAGTACCTCTTAACTTTTGGAAAGTTTTCTAAGGTTGCAACAATAATCCTCTACTGACCCTGCAGCTGAGAATAAGAAAAAGACATAATTCAAATTCCCTATATGTCTATAGATCTAACCTGTCTGGTGATCCTAGTACATGCTTTGTAAATACACTAGTTCATGCATTGTGACTATAAAAGTTCCTGTGAATGGGCATGATGTCAGATGTCTGTAATTCCACACTTAGGCTGTGGAAGCAGGAAGATAAAGAATTAAAATCCAGCTTTTGCTACACAGCAAATTTGAGAACAGCCTGAGCTACACTGTTTCTGTCTTTAAAAAAATTAATTAACAACCATAAATAAATAAAACAAATCGTGAAGTTTCCATGATGTAACATGGATTTATAACTGAGTCTCTGTTTCTAAGTCATAATCATTCACGTTTGGCTCAGAATAAACTGACAAAGCACAGTCAGTATTTTCATTTTCACAACACCTTCTGCATTTCTTTCCCTGGTTTTCCCTGCATTGTCTTTGTTCGGGTCTCTATCTCTCAATGAAAGCACCCAGTCCAGTGTAACATGCATGTTCCATAAGAGCTACAAAGACACTGAAAGTTGAAAACACCATTCAGATCAAGTCCCTAGCTGGACCATGATAGAACATGGCAATGTTAAACATGGTATGTTTAATTCAGAGGAGATCAGACAGCTCTACTGAAGAGAAATAACATTTACACTGCTCTGCGATATTCATGAGACATCATCTGCTAACAGGATTGACAAATACGTTAGGAAACAAATCAGCTACAAGTGTCCCTTACACTTCATACTCATACCAATGTATTCACCTATTTGTCTACAGTAGCTGTCTTATCTTCTTAGGATGGATCTGAGAGCCAGTGTCTAAAGAAATATCAGGGCAGCTTACTGCCCTGATACTTCACTGGTCTCACTGACCACATGACCAAGCAAAAAACACAAAACAAAATATTAACCAGATAATTACATACCTTCCATAAACTCTATAGTACAGAAATAATATATTGTTAAATATTCAGAACATTTCCAGGTGATTTTAAAATAAAATTACCAAGGTAATCTCTAACATTTCTTTTTCATTTTCCCTCTCTCAATGTCAAAGGCAATGGTATGGACTATCCATATCCATATATATGTATATATATATGACAGAGAATAATAGTTATTGCTGTCCTTGTAACTTTTGTAAATTATTCTACCATGGAAATCAGAAGGCTTTAACTCTATGCCCATAGGGAGCAAGCACAGAATCATAAATTACATTTTTCCCTGCTAAAAGGACAGCTGGAGGGCAAAGGGGATGGTCTTTCTTTTAGTTAGCCATGACAGGTTATGGTGAAGAAAATATCATGCATAATTCATGAATCGTGCAATCCGGCAGATATACAAGGGGCCCGTGTCAATGAAGGACATCAGGGATGCATGGAATGTGACAAAAGTAGCCAAACTCTCCCAATTGAGAAACCAAAGTGCAAAGCCCTTACCCTGGAGGGCCTGTAAGCTGTGAGTCTGTACGATGATGCAGAGCTGCAGGACCAGCTGGGGGGCACTTTCCAAAAA